CTGTCCCCGGAAGAGCCCATTTCCAAACCTCTGCTCCTGCTGGGGGGCCGGTTATGACAGACTTCCCCATCCCTGTCCTTTTGGAAGGACCCATCCCTACAGCCCCATCATTCACACACACTTCCTTGGGGAACTCCAGCCCCAGTATAACTACCCCCCAGCAGCCTGTCCCATGCCCAGGGCCCTGGCCTGTCTTCCCATGGGGGCCTCACCTGGGGAAGCAGGGGTGGGAGTACCAGGCCGTGGGGCATGGATGAGAAACTGAGCTAGAGATGGCAGAAACTTGGCAAGGCTCTGACGGCAAGGCAGGACCAGCCCCCTGTGCCCATCCTGCACTACTGAGTTGCCCAGAGAACTCTGGGGCAGGGGCAGAGGACCAAACCCTCCCACCCCAGGCCCCGCTCTTCCTCCCAGGGACCTCACAGCTTTTCTCTCCATGCCTCGTGGAGGGGAGTGGGGAGGTTGGATTGGGTTTGGAGGGCAAAAGCACCTCCCTCAGAGGCCCTGCTGTGTCCTCTAGACTGGACGTGTGGACAAGAACGTGCCTATGGTCTGTGGCCACACGGCCCCAGTGCTGGACATCGCCTGGTGCCCGCACAATGATAATGTCATTGCCAGTGGCTCCGAGGACTGCACAGTCATGGTGAGTGTGGGGACACACGGGCCAGGAGGGGGCTCCAGCACTGGAGCTGACGTTCGGAGCCCCCGAGACTCACTCGCCGCTTCTCTGCAGGTGTGGGAGATCCCTGATGGGGGCCTGGTGCTGCCCCTGCGGGAGCCTGTCGTCACCCTGGAGGGCCACACCAAGCGCGTGGGCATTGTGGCCTGGCACCCCACAGCTCAGAATGTGCTTCTCAGTGCAGGTGCCCGGGGGGAGAAGCAGGGAGGGCTGGTCCCCTGACAGCGAGGGTGGGAGGCTCATGACTTCTGACACTGGGGGCATCGCCCAGGTTGCGACAATGTGATCCTGGTGTGGGACGTGGGCACGGGGGCGGCCGTGCTGACACTGGGCTCGGACGTGCACCCGGACACAATCTACAGCGTGGACTGGAGCCGAGATGGCGCCCTCATCTGTACCTCCTGCCGCGACAAGCGATTCCGCATCATTGAGCCCCGCAAAGGCACCATTGTAGCTGTGAGTTGCCTTGACCCTTGACCCTGAGAGCTTTGCCCCTCCTACCCACCACCAACCAGGCCCCTAGATGCTACCCACTCCCAGCTGGGGCCTGGCCCTTAGGGGGTGCGTGCGGATGCCTGACCGGTCCCCTCCCTTTCCTTCCAGGAGAAGGACCGTCCCCATGAGGGGACCCGGCCTGTGCGTGCCGTGTTTGTGTCAGATGGAAACATCCTGACCACAGGTTTCAGCCGCATGAGTGAGCGGCAGGTGGCGCTGTGGGACACGGTGAGTGCCCGGCGGGGAACAGGCTTAGTCCCAGCCCTGCCAAGTGTCTGGCTGGAAGGCCATGGCCTCAGTTTACCCACCGCTGGTTGGTCTATAAGCCCCCCACCCCACTCCTCCATCACTGGACCGCACCTGGGCCTGACGTGGTCCAGCTCATTATAAACCCCTGCCCGTCTCTACAGAAGCACCTGGAGGAGCCGCTGTCCCTGCAGGAACTGGACACGAGCAGCGGTGTCCTGCTGCCCTTCTTTGACCCTGACACCAACATTGTCTACCTCTGTGGCAAGGTGGCCCAGTTGGGCAGGGGGTCGGGGGAGCGAGGCGGGCAGGGGGACTGGGAAAGGACCACGGCTGGAGGCATCTGCCCGTGTTGATCCTCCCTTGCATCCACCACCTGCAGGGTGACAGCTCTATCCGGTACTTCGAGATCACTTCCGAGGCCCCATTCCTGCACTATCTCTCCATGTTCAGTTCCAAGGAGTCCCAGCGTGGCATGGGCTACATGCCCAAACGTGGTCTGGAGGTGAACAAGTGTGAGATTGCCAGGTAACTGCCCCGACCCTGACCTGAGTGTGCTCCTTGGGCAGTGCCGACCGCACGCCGCGCTTCAGTCCCAGCCCAGCCATGCTGTGGGTGCCGATCGCCTTCCTGTTTCCACAGATTCTACAAGCTGCACGAGCGGAGGTGTGAGCCCATCGCCATGACGGTGCCTAGAAAGGTGATGCTCCAGGGTCCCTCCCCGGGCTCTCGGAGTGGCGGGTGGTGGCGTGGCCCACTTTCTTAACCAGCCTTGGCCTTGCCCCGCAGTCGGACCTGTTCCAGGAGGACCTGTACCCGCCCACTGCAGGGCCTGACGCTGCCCTCACAGCTGAGGAGTGGCTAGGGGGTCGGGATGCCGGGCCCCTCCTCATTTCCCTCAAGGATGGCTACGTGCCCCCAAAGAGCCGGGAGCTGAGGATCAACCGGGGTCTGGACACTGGGCGCAAGAGGATGGCACCTGAGGCCAGTGGCGTTCCCAGTTCGGTGAGAGGCAGATGGGAGCCCGGGAATCAGGACAGGAAGATGGGGTAGGGCAGGGGCTGCTACCGATGTGGTCACTGACCTAGTGGAAAGAGGCTGGCATTTGGGGCAGCCCAAACTCACAATGTTGGGGATCCTTTGGGGGCTGGATAATCCTGAGGCCTCAGAAAACAGGTTTCAGGCTTATAGGCCTGCAGCTCTCTGGCTGAGAGACAGAAGGGCCCAAGCCCTGGGGCTCTTGGGAAGAGGCCTAGTGGCCAGGGAGGAGCTGGGCCTGATGCAGCCCTGGATCCCCCAGGATGCCGTATCCCGGTTGGAGGAGGAGATGAGGAAGCTCCAGGCCACGGTACAGGAGCTACAGAAGCGCCTGGATAGGCTGGAGGAGACAGTCCAGGCCAAGTAGAGGACCACCGGCTGAGGCCAACGGCATCGCCTCCCTCCCTTCCACTCCCACTCCTCAGGCCACCATGGCAGATAAGAAAATACTAATAAAATGGCTTTATTTTCTGGTACCTCTCAGACTCCAGTGACTGGTCACCAGATGCTGGGTCTGCTGAACTGACCTGCACTTGAGCTTCCCCCTCCATAGCCTCGATGAGCTTGACCCATGGCAGGGGCGGGCTGGGGAGATGCCTCTGAACGCCCTAGACCACAGACAGGAACAGGCCTTTGCGGGTGGGAGCCATCCTGCGCTGATGTGGGTTGGGAGCCTGCTCTGTTTTCCAGCTGGTAGGTCGAAGCTGCTCAGGGATCTAGCCTGGAGCCTCGGTCATTCTGTTTACCCCAAATCTGCCTTTGCTAGTCAACCGTAACACCAGCTTGCATGCAGCTGTCCTGACACTGCTGCCTGCTTGTGGGGAAGATGAAGCAACCAGCACTTACATGACATCTTCCAAACTGTAAGCCCAAGGGATCAAAATAAGGGGTCCTTTTGTAAGAAGAAACCTTAGAATCAAAGCAATAGGCCCTGACCCTAGTTTACAAGCGAGGAAACTGAGGCTGACAGCAGGAGCTGGGCTTGCTGAGGGACAGATCCCGAGTCAAGATGCAAGTCTCCCCTTCTAGTTCAGAGCCTTCCCTGCACCACGTGGCTGCCTCTTGAACCCTGTCTGTGGCTTCCACCTGGGTCTGACCTCAATCTGTCAAGCCCTATCAAGGGGGGACTTGGAAATGGGTTTCCGATGGCCAACTTAGCAGGTGATCCCCCCTGAGCTGGGACACAGGACTGTTGGGGATGGGTGTCCTGGTCACAGCAGGGCTTTGTTCATCCACATAGGGACCACAGCAAGGACTAAATGTCCCTTTTGAACCCCCATTCCCCTTTGGCATGCTGTACAAATGTCCCTGTCTGCCCATTTGGGTCTCAATCTCTATGCAAACCATGTGACCCTGGGCAAGTCACTTCTCTCCACGCCTCAGTTGCTCATCTATAGAATGGGGAGGGATTCCACCACAGCTCTGTGAACCCAGGGGGTGGATCCAATCAGGGGTGTGGTACAGACAGAAGGAGACCATCTGGAGCCTGGGCCTCAGTCTCCCACACAAAGGGATGATGGGCCCTCCTAGTGAAGCAGACTTGTGGGTAGTCACTAGTTCTCCTGGCCCAGGGAAATGGAAAAAAGTTCAGGGAAGGATCCTTGGAACTCAGAAGGGTTAGCCCCTACTCACCATGATTTCCAGCTTCCTCTGAGAGAAACAAGAGAGGGAGGTGGGGGTGGGGGTGGTGGTAATTTAGGGGCCAAGAAACCAGCCTTGAAAACAGGAGAACAGGGTGGGTGGGATGGTTGAAATCTGCAATTTCTCACCCCCAAAGAGCTCTGGCCCCAATTAGCACACTTCCTATTCCTCCTGGGTCTCAGGGCCCTCACCTATGCAAGGCCTAATCAACTCTGGCACTTGTGTCGACTCTAGGGCATCACATGCCCCAATTTTGTGGCTCTGGTCGGCCTTACTTTCCTGCTGTAACCCTATGCCCATCCCACCCCTCCATTCCTGAAAAACCTCACCAGCTCTCCAGGGTCAGCTGTGGCCACATCAAGCCCAGGGCCAAAGGGTCACTGGACTTTCTCCAGGGGCCAGAAAACACTGCCATTCCAGGTGTTGGGAAGCCCCTGCTAGGGTACCAGGTCCCTGAGGTGGTGAAGGGCTTGGGGAACCAACAGGGTAAGTGTGGAATCTTCTATAATGCCTCTGACATTGGGATGATATTAGGGAGAGGGAGAGGTTTGTTAAATTGCCCAAGGCCCTAAAACCGTGAGCACTTCTCATCTATGCATCTTGAAGGAGGACAGAGCAGGAACCCCAAGCAATGGTCAATGAATGGGTGGGTCGGGTGGGTAGTGGCCGTACCCCAAGGGGGTCCACCAAGGATTACAAAGAAGACCTGTGAGGCCCACCCTGGAAGGGACTTTAAGAACTGAACTTTCACTTTATAAGTGGGGACACGAAGGCCTCTGTGTGGAGAGGTACTTGCCCAAAGTAAAACAATGGAGAGTGGAGGGCAGGGAGAAGCCAGGCTCTAGACCCGGCCTCTGCACACCTCCCACCCTCCTACACACAACACACACTGACACAGAAGCTGGGCCTGACTCATAATTTAATAGATGTGCAGGTCCGGGTCCCTTATTTCTGCTGCTCACGGGTCCACTGCTCTGGAGTCAGGGTTTTCTGCTCAAAAGCATGGATGTGCAGGAGCTCTTCTGCTAGGCAAGTGTTCACAAGCCTGAGAGAGAGATGGGGTTAGAAAACGGCAGGCTGGGGCCTGCGTCGCAGACCCCGAAGCTAGGGTGAGCCGGGAGACTGGAGATGTCCCCCAGGTTGTAGTCCCTGAAACCTGGCAACAAGAGAGGTAGAGGGCTGAAGTCTCAATATTTGAAGCAGAGGCCATGAAGGCGGGATCGCTGGGGTCGTGGCCTGCGGTGCTGGGCCGCATTGGTGGGGGTGAGTTAGGTTTCGGGGAGCGGCCGGGGATGTGGTCCTGGAGCTGGGGCCGCGCTGAATGAGGTTTTCCTGGGGTCTCACCGGTGTCTCTGAAGCAGCGGCTTCCCCTCGAACTTGGCCGACACCACGAGGACTCGGAAGCTAGACGCGCAACGGTTGGGAGTCGTGTCCTCCACTTCCTATGGGGCAGAATGGGGTGGATGGTGCCAAGCCCGCCCCTCAGGAGCCCTGTTCCCCTTGCTGGGCAAGCGTTCACGCCGCTCAACTCACCACGTGTTCCGCCTCCAGGTCCCGCTGCAGCTTCTCCCGGAGGTACTCGGCGCTGAGTTCCATTGTGGCAGCCCAACGGGGTCGACGTCCCAGCGGGGACAGTACCCCTGCTCGCACCCCTGCCACACTGCTTCCGCCCTTACTAGCACCACTTCCGTTGAGGTCTCTACTTCCGCCCTTACTAAGGCGTCAGTAAACACAGCACTTCCGCCCTCTTGCAAGCCCAGTTTTCCAACAGTCTCCGGTTTCTGCACCGACCATCAGTCAGCCAATCAGAGTCTGCATAAGGCCCCGGCGGACGCTAATTGGTACCCGCAGCCTGCACAGCAGCCCGGGTTCTGCGCCCCGGTTTGGACACCCTAGCTCCAGCTAGTAGAGGGTGCACGAGCCTGCATTGCTGTGGCCTCTAGGGTACCTTGGGATTGCCCCCAAGCGCTTTTTCCGAGCCAAGCATCTTGCGTCCCTGGCAACCCAGCTCTCCCCGGGGTCACAGGCCAGAGCAATCAACCCCAAGTTCCGATGGGCCCCACAGGGGGCGCGGCGAGGCCCGGGCGCTTCTTCGGCGTCTACCTGCTCTACTGCCTGAACCCTCGGCACCGGGGCCGCGTCTACGTAGGGTTCACGGTCAACCCTGCTCGTCGGGTGCAGCAGCACAACGGAGGCCGCAGAAAAGGCGGGGCCTGGCGGACCAGTGGACGCGGGCCCTGGTAAGAGGCGGTGGGTCACTGTCAGGAGAAGGGCTTCTAGGAGGAGGCCGGAGCCGGCGGAGGGGAGGCCCGTTGAGAGGGGCGCGGCCAGCGTGGGGGCTGAAAAACAGGGCTGCGGGCGGGGTCCTAGTGACGAGGGGGGGACTATCGCGGGGGGGGGGGGGGGGGGGGGGGGCGGAGCCCTGGGGGTCTGGGCTGTGGGTCTCAGAGGGGGGGGTTGGGTGGGAAGGGGATTGATGATCTAGGTTTGGTCCACCGACACGGGGCTTGGTGAACAAGGCTGGGTTGGAATAGAGAAAGCCTGGAAGAGAGAGGAACTGAGGAGGGCTGTTAAATACCTGTGACTGGAGGCGGGGCCTGAGGTTAGCAGGTGCGAGGGGACATACCTCCATGAAGGGGGCAGAGCCTCGTGGGCTAGGCTTGAAGCCGGGTGTGACTCCCCTCTCGGGTAGGACCGGAGGCGCACCATGGCGAGGGGATTCGGTTTGACCCGGGGAGGGGCGAGGGACTCACAGGCCGCGCCCCTCATTCTCTTCCCCAGGGAGATGGTGCTCATCGTACACGGCTTCCCCTCCGCAGTGGCCGCCCTTCGGGTAAGAAAAGAGACGGGGGTGCCGGGAGGACGGGGGCTAGGGCTTAGGGCCTTCCCCGGACGGCCCTGAAGCTCAGTACTCTCCGCCTGCAGTTCGAGTGGGCCTGGCAGCATCCGCAGGCCTCGCGCCGCTTGGCGCACGTGGGTCCGCGCCTAAGCGGTGAGGCAACCTTCGCCTTTCACCTGCGCGTGCTGGCGCACATGCTGCGCGCGCCGCCCTGGGCGCGACTCCCACTCACCTTGCGCTGGCTGCGCGCCGACTTCCGCCAGGAACTCTGCCCGCCGCCGCCGCCTCACGTGCCGCTGGCCTTTGGGCCTCCGCCGCCCCGGGCCTCAGCCCCGAGGCGCCGGGCGGCTGACACCGAGTCCGAGCTGGAGCATGACGCCGAGACCCGCTGCACCCTGTGCGCGCGTGTGCTCCAGGTAAGACTCTCCACCTGGTCTCCGGGTCAGGGCGGTCTAGGATTCAGAGGACTCAAGATCAAGCTGTTTCTTGAGGGACTGGGCAGCCCACTGACACCCTTTGGCCAGTCTGCCCCCATCTCGAAAACGGGGATCATAGTGCTTGCGGCCATTCCTCGACACCAGTATTCTCCTTTCAGGGCTTTTGCCCTTTCCCTTTGACTGAAAGGTTCTTCCCTAGACCTTACGTTTTGATAAAATGCCACTTTTCCTCCGTGAGGTTTTCCATCTGAAATTGCCACTCTTTCTTGTAGACTTCCCTGGCTTTCTTTAACACTTATTATTGTCTGACATACTGTATATTTTATTTACCTTGTTATCAGTTTCTGCCCCCCCCCCCACCATTCTAAACTCTGCTGGGGCATTTAGTTCCTTTTCACTACTGTAGAACAGGGTCTAGTGCAGAGCAGATTGCCAATAAATATTTAATAAATTAATTGAAATGATGAGTCTGGCTTCTACTGAGCCCTCAGTAAATGTAAGTTGAGCTCTTGCCATTCAGAGCTTAAGTGACCTGCCTGAGATTGCTCAGCCTTTAAGGAACTCTAGGTCTGGCTGCGCTGCCATGGTGTTATGTAATCGCTGCTAACACTCAGAGAAAACTGGCCAGTTTAGTCCCTGTGGGCCAGTATTTTAACGTTTCCGTGCCTCAGTTTCCTCATCTATAAATTACAAATAATAGTATCAAGAGCGCATGTCTCATAAGGTGGTTTTATGTAAAGTCTTGGAACAGTGTCTAGTCCATAGAAATTCTTCACATTGCTAGCTACATCATTACTCTCCATTTTCTCTCTTACCTGCCTGCCATCTCTGACAGGATGAAGAAGACCCCCTGTGTTGCCCCCACCCTGGCTGCTCCCTGAGGGCCCATGTGATCTGCCTGGCAGAGGAGTTCCTGCAGGAGGAGCCAGGGCAGCTTCTGCCCCTAGAGGGCCAATGCCCTGGGTGAGTCCAGCACCCCTACTCCAGCCTGGTTTAGCTCTGGGAAGACGGTGCCCAGTTGTCCAAGTCCAGGCCTGGGGTAGTCCTCATCTTAGCACCCAGGTCCTGGCCTGGAGGAGGCTTGGGACCCTGACTCTATCTCCTACCAACCGCACCCCTGGTAGCTGCAAGAACTCACTGCTGTGGGGAGACCTGATCTGGCTGTGCCGGATGGGCACCGAGGAGGAAGAGGAGGACTCGGAATTAGAAGAGGTGAGAGGTGGCTTGGGCCCCAGCCTCACTACCCCACCCCATCTCCTGGGCTGCCTTTCACCAACCCTCTCGTCTCCACAGGAACACTGGACCGACATGCTGGAGATCTGATCCTCAGCGTCCCCAACCTCTGCCCACTCCTTTTCTGTGCCACCCCCTGTGGGTCTGGGCAGTTTTTACTTGAGTACAATAAAAAGTCTGAGTTAAGGTACCTTCTGGTGTTTGCTGGGGGGTGGGAGAGTGGGGTAGGAGGCAGAGGCCCTGCCAGTCACTGGGGCCTGAGGAGGACAGAGTGGGGAACGGCCACTGGCCCCAGCACGGACCAGCCTCTGAAGTCACATAGTCCTTTGAGGGCTTGGGAGACTCACACCCTGCACACACAGCCCACCCACCTCCGGTGCTCAGCTTGACTTCAGACTTTAATCCAAACAGTAAGGACAAAGGCCGAGGAGGAGAGGGGGGATGCTGTTCCCCCACGGGGTCCTGTGGCTCTCTAAGCCCCAACTCCTTCTCATCTCTGTCTGCAGAGCCTTGTTCAAACCCACAGAAAAAAAAGCACCTTCTGGGGGCTGTTGTGTTACCAACCATGAGTGAGGCTCCGTGCTGTCCCACGGGAGCCGCCTTCCCACGGGAGCCATGGAGCTGGGGCTCACTCCCAGGGTTATTCGACTTAAGCATTCTGGCTCTTTCCTATCCTTTGCTGCCTCAAAAAGAGCCTGCCCTGCTCGGCTCTGCCGCAAACCCCATGACCCGGCCCACGCACATCCCTCTGGACTGGCCTCGTGGTCAGAGCCAGAAGTTCCTGGAACAATGTTTGGGCTGCTGGGGGCCTCTGAGCTGCCTTCCACCTGAACCCTTGGCCTCTTCAAGACTGGCCGGGAACCAGCAGGAGGGTGAGTGTCCCACATTTCTCCTCCACTCCTCTGCCCTTTCTAGACTGGGTCCATTAGGTAAAGCTGTCTTTTGGCCCCCTTTTCAGGGGTGGAGTTCAGAGAGCAGGTCAGGAGCCAGGATTACAACTCGAAACACCAAAAAACAAAAAAGAAAACGATTGCACCCTTGTGTCTAGTTTCAGTCTTCTATTTTCTACACACTAAACCCACATCTTAGGTTTTCAGGCCAGTCTAAGCTTGATTCCAGCTGGGCACTGAGCAGAGTAGCACAGAGGGGCTCTCCCACCCCGAAATTCACCCTTTCCTTCCTGGACAACAGCCAAGTCCCAGTGCCGGCTCCATACCCCTCCCACTTTGGACCTACAAGACCTTCAGCTCAGAGAGCAGTTCTGCCCTCACCACACCACAGCCGTTCTGCGTTCTAAGCCGCAGCACGCAGACGTCAGGAGGCCACGATCCAGAGAAGTCGGGTGAGAGCGAGGTGGTGGGCCGGCTGGGCTGGATCTCCCTCAGCTTGCGCTGCTGGCTCTCATCCTGTCGCTTGAGCTTTCTGGTCCGGCTTCTCACACCCTGCCCTTTCCCCATGGATTGCCCATCTCAATCTACAGCCTGGCCTGAATAATCCCCCTCCTCCTCCTTCCCCTCCCCCTCCTCCAGTGAGTCATGAGTTTTGCCCATTCACATACCAGATTCCGGCTCCCCAAACAGTTGCTCAATTGGCTGTGTTTTTCTCCAAGCTGGGGAGGGTAGCTGGGCAAGCGGGGTCTCAGGCCCAACTGGCCTTTTTGGAGTTTTCCAACATATGTGAGGGGCCAGGAGGGGAGCTGAAGGAGGGGACGTCAGGGAGGAGCCCACCAGGATTAGGCCCGGAGGCAAAGCAGGAAGAGAAAGCAAGCTGGGGGCTGGCAGGAAGTTCAGACAGGCAGGACTTAGAGTGGGTTTTCTCAAGTGCACAATGGAATCCCCTGGAGAGCTTCCAAAAAACTGCTATCTGGGTCCCATCCCCAGAGAGTGTTTTAATTGGTTTGGGATTTTAAAAGCTCTGCAGGCAAATAAAAATGAGCCTGGGTGTGACCCACTGCGTGAGCACTGGATCTGGCTTGGAATCCCAGCCCCACCACTCAGTAGCTCTGTGAGCGTGGGCAAGCGGCTCCCTCAGCCTCAGTTTCCTTACCTCAAAGCAAGAATTCAACAGCTGGCCCCACTGTGATATTGTTAAGGGAAGGAAGCTACACTCTGGACCCTGACGTGGCAGCATGGAGCTGGTCCAGGACACCTCCCGCCCGCCACTGGAGCACGTGAAGGGGATCCCTCTCATCAAGTACTTTGCAGAGGGGCTGGGGCCTCTGCAGAGCTTCCAGGCCTGGCCCAGTGACCTGCTCATCAGCACCTACCCCAAATCCGGTAGGTGATGAGGGCACCAACGCCTCTCCTGGGCTGCAGTCCCCACCTTGGGCCGGGAGGGGCGTGCTCAGCCCTGCTCATCTCCCATTTCCCTCTCTCTCCAGGCACCACCTGGGTAAGCGAGATCCTGGACCTGATCTACCAAGGTGGCGACCTGGAGAAGTGTCAAAGAGCCCCCATCTTCGTCCGGGTGCCCTTCCTTGAGTTGAGGGTCCCTGGCCTTCCCACAGGTATGTGGCGGGGTGCTGGGAGGTAGGACTCGGCCTCCAGCTCAGCCGGCTTTTCCCTACCTACGGCTTAGGTGCTGAGCTTCTGGAAGATACACCAGCCCCACGGCTGATCAAGACACACTTGCCCCTGGCTCTGCTTCCACCGACGCTGCTGGATCAGAAGGTCAAGGTGAATGGCAGAGGAAGCCAGGGAAGGAGGCTGCTGGGGCCATCCCAGCTTTGGCCCTACCTTCTGGGGAGGTCTCCTCACCTCCTCCAGCCTGGTCTCATCTTAAGGGAGGCGGGGGCCATCTGCCTGATGGCTCTAGTGGGATCAGATAATCTGGTGAAAAGGAGACTCCTCTGTGCAGAGCCGGGCTCACAGGCCCGTGGAAGAGAGGCTGGTGGGAATCCAGCACGCCTTGTTCCAAATTCAGGCAGAGTGGCATTGAGGGGATTAGATTAGTATAAAATATGGTTTCAGGGAGCAGCCCAGAGTTCGGCATCAGAGCAGGGTTCAAGCCCCAGCTCAGTCTCGCCCACACCATGGGACTGCAAGTGAGTCAGCCTCTAGACCCGTTTCTCCCTCAGCCAAACTGAGAGAACCTCCCTGGCAAGGATGCTGTGAAGGGTGGGACACCTAGTGCCCAGTGTGCTGGGGGGGGAGGGGGCGGGGGTGGGGGGGGGGGGTCATCTGCCCCTCCAGGTGGTCTACGTCGCCCGCAATGCAAAGGATGTGGCCGTCTCCTATTACCACTTCTACCGCATGGCCAAGGTGCACCCTGACCCTGGCACCTGGGACAGCTTCCTGGAGAAGTTCATGGCTGGGGAAGGTGGGGCTGACTCTGGAGGAAGGAAAGGGGTGGGGTGGAGCTGAGGGGCACCAGCTACAACTTATGCCAACCTCTGTGTCCATGCCCCCTGCCCTTTTCTCCAGTGTCCTACGGGTCCTGGTACCAGCACGTGCAGGAGTGGTGGGAGCTGAGTCACACCCACCCTGTTCTCTACCTCTTCTATGAGGACATAAAGCAGGTGAGACCGCCTGCTTCTGCGTCCCTCCATGTCACACGCAGAGAGGCAGGAACCTCACAGTGACCTGCCAAGGCCCTCTCAGCGCCCCTCCCCTATGACAGCCCACAGCCCAGTCCTCCTGGATCCCCTCTGCAGGACGGAGCAGCAGTGCCCCCTTGCAGCAGTGCCCTGTATAGCTCTTATCTCCTAGCACTCGAGTCAGCAACCGTGCACTCATCCATCAGCTAGTTACTGCTGTTGCTTCTCCTGGGGCCATGGTTATGAAAGAGGACTGTCCCTCCTCTCATCCAGCAGGAACCAGACATCTGTAATAAAGGACCACAGGGCAGAAGGCAGTCAAACCTGCCCTAGGGAAAGAGGACCAGAGTCAAGGAACAGGGTCTGAGGTCTCTAAGCAGAAGTGGCCAGATCCCCACAGGGTTAGAAAGGGACCTCCCTTCTGTTTGCTCAGCAAGCAATGCAAACCTCCACTGAGGAGCCCCTCTGCTGCTCCAGAACCCCAAAAGGGAGATTCAGAAGATCCTGGAGTTCGTGGGGCGCTCTCTGCCAGAGGAGACCATGGATCACATCGTCCAGCACACGTCTTTCAAGGAGATGAAGAAGAACCCCATGACCAACTACAGCACCATACCCACCAAAGTCATGGACCACAGCATCTCTGCCTTCATGAGGAAAGGTGAGAGCTGCCCCAGGGAGCGGGCACGGGCATCTGGGGAGAGAGTGGGGGAGCAGCAGCTAGAGCCGCCGTTCAGCCAGTCAGGGCCTCCTCTGTGACGGGGACCTCACCCCTTTCGTCTCTCCCAGGCATCACTGGGGACTGGAAATCCACCTTCACTGTGGCCCAGAATGAGCACTTTGAAGCCGACTATGCTGCGAAGATGGCAGGCTGCCACCTCCACTTCCGCTGGGAGCTGAGTGGTGCTCATCAGGGTGAGCGTGAGACAGGCCTCGACAATAAAATCTGATGTGTGTGAACACAGCCTCTGCTGGAAGCAAAGGACGAACCCGAGCCAAAAGGGTGCATGCCCACTGGGACCAAGTGAGGCCGTCTTCCCTGGTGGCCTCCAGCTCGCCCTAGTTGGGCGGGAAGGAAGGGTCTGGAAAAGTAAAACCCAGGAGACATGGACAAGGGAGGAGGAATATTTATTCGATCACAGAATCTTGTGTGCATCCCCTTCGAGGGTGTCAGGAGGTTGCGAGGCCGCTTCACTTTTTCTTGGGCTCCTTACAAGCCACCACGTACCGCTGGGCCACATTGAGGGGAGGCGAGTAACCATCTGCATAGGAGGTGTCTTCAAACAGGACCGAATAGTCATCCTGGGGCTGCAGTAGGGGGCAGACGGGAGTGACTGGTCAGAGACCTCCAGGCGAGGCCCCCCCAAACCTAGACAGACAGGAACCTCTGGCTCGTGGGCCCCCAGCCTCTCCTGTCCTCGTAGTCACTCAGGAAGTCTAGATGTTTGAACCCAGTCCCTGTTACTACAGAGCTCTTTCCTCAACAACAAAGGGCCAAGGGTAAGGGATGAAGAGCAGGGAGAAGGGAGACTTGCCACCTACGTGGATGGGCCATAACTGGAGGGTCTGGTACCAGGGAGCCCGTGTTAAAGGGATCAAGGACAGCCTAGAGGGGGACTTCCCTGGTGGCAGAGCGATTAGGAATCCGCCTGCCGGTGCAGGGGACATGGGTTCGATCCCTGGTTCCGGAAGATCCCACATGCCTCGGAGCAAGCAAGCCCGTGCGCCACAGCTACTGAAGCCCGTGTGCCTAGAGCCCATGCTCTGCAACAAGAGAAGCCACCGCAATGAGAAGCCCACGCACAGTAGAGTAGCCCCCGCTCGCTGCAACTAGAGAAAGCCTGCACACAGCAACGAAGACTCAACGCAGCAAAAAAAAGAAAAAAAAAAAAGACAGCCTAGAGGGCAGCAGGCAGGTATCCTGGAGGAAGAGGGGAGAACAGCCTTTAAACTCCCATCAGGTGATGGGTGACCAGGGCGTCAGCGATGTCAGGAGCTCGAGAGAAAGCAGCTCAGCCAAGGAAAGGGCAGTGGTGCAGGAGTCAAGGGTCCAAAACAGACCCTGGGCCTTGAACTTCCCATCTCAGCGCAAAAGCGAGGTTAGACTAGAGTATGCTTCGGGTCCATTCTGCTCAGGGCTTGCTGAGGCTCTGAAGCTTGGGGAGAGGAGGGCTGGCTGGTGCTGCCCTAGAGGGCAGGGCTGTAGGGCAGACTAAGCAGAAGACAAAGGCCAACTTGCAGGACCCTCCTAGCTCAGAGAGGCTGTGAGATGAGGAAAAGGGGACGGAAAGTGGGAAGATGTTCCATGACCCAGCTGGTCCTTGTAGCGGGGCCAGTGTCTCTCCCGTGAAGGCTGGCTTACCCGTTGCGGGGGCGTGTGGATTAGGGCACGGTAGAAGCAGGTGGTCTGGGGATACAGGGCCAGCACGAGCTGCTCCTTCTGGAATAAGGCTTCAGGGTCTGTCTCCGGGTTGGCCTTCCACTGCGGCAGTGGGATGATCCGCCGGCGGCTCAGGGTGTGTCTCCTGGTGGGGGCGAGGGGGAGCTAAGGTCAACTCATGGCCAGGTGGGGGCCCCATCCCAGCAGCTTAGCTGCCCCCAGGCTTCCACAGCCCCCCCATGAGCACACTCACTCTTTGCCTTCTTCGTCAATGTCATCTACCTCATACCTGTGGGTAAACAAAAGGAAAGCGGTGGATTCAGGGAGGTGCATAGTCCAAGTCAGGGAGCCCCGAGGAAGCGGGGGAGGAGGGCAGGGAAGGGAAGTAGCCCAGGAGCCCACTTCACACACCATCCCCACCGGCACCCAGGGGAAGCTGCTTTTCTCCCATCTTGCAGACGGGTGAGAGTCGCAGCCCAAGTGGGTGTGGTGACAGGGGAAGAGCCCACAGGGCTGGGCGTCCACTCACTTGTTGGTGGCATGGCTGTAACTGACCACCTCGGCCAGGATCCACTGCTCATCCCCATCCACAGCCTTCACCCGGGCAGCCACCTTGTCCCCAGGTTTGGCCACGTAGTCCCCAGAAGCTGGAATGGCCCCACACAGGGGCGGGGGCCTGAGGGTGGAATAAAATGTCACTTCCAGTCCCTTCCCTGCCAGCGCCCCCAGCCCCGGGCCCGCCCTCACTTGTCACCAGGCTTCCCGATCCACAGGGGCAGGGTCATGGCTGACTGCTGCAGCAGGGTCATCAGCACCCCCCTGCGCATGGTCTTCCGAGGGGGCTCCGAGTCATTGTACAGGCCCGCGATCTTGGCCGCTGTGGGAAAGAAGTGAGCCTTTGAGACACCAGGGACAGGGTTCCCGCCCCCAGGCCCACCCTAGCCTGCCTGCATCGGGCTGGCAGAGCTCAGCCTGCAGCCCCACCGCCCAAGTTAGCACCAAGGGCCCAGGTGCCATCCCGCCCCTTCCACCAGATGCCCACAGTCAGACCGCCCAGATGGTGAGACACCAGGAGGGTGGGTACCCTAGGGAGAGGGAACTAGAAAGGGCAAAAGCTGGGATTCGGGGGTGCTGGTCACGTTCTATTTCTTGATCTGGGTGCTGGTTACATCCGTTATGTTCAGTTAGTGAAAGTTTCGGTGAGCTGTATGTCCACTTACATGTACTTTTCTATGAATATATGTTGTAATTCAACAAAAAGTTTAAAAAACAAACTCTCAAATGTGGACAGACCCCTGACCTCCTCAGGCATGGTTCAACACACGCAGCCACTTCATACAAACCCAGCTGGCAGTGTGACAGCATTTTTGATGGGTGAGGAGTTGCACACGGGGGGTTCACTGGGGCAAGAGAGGTGGGAAAGCCACAGCAGCCTGAGGGCTCTGGAAGCCAGTGCCTCGTGTAGGTAAACTCCATGTGGAAGGCTGGCTTCAGGACACCCAGGGTGCAGCTCTGGTTCTCCCCACAGCAAGAAATGGGAGTGGGTGGCAGTAGGAAGGAGGGAGGTGACTGACCCAGGCAGTAGAGGGAGCAGGGGAATCGGCATGGTCTGCAGGGAGCTCTGGGGATGATCCCCTTTCCCTTCCCCACCCCAGGCTGCCCAGGCGCTTCTCTGTCAGAAGCCCCCAGAACAATCCCACCAGACTGAGGTCACAGGCTCCCCTACAGGGAGACCTGACTGCTGCTCTCAGGAACCCTCACTCCGCCTGGTCCAGGAATGCCGGCCTGGTTGTCTCTAACTCACCAATCCGCCTCTCTTCCAACAGAGACTTGATTTCCGCAATCTTATCTAGGGCTTTCCGGAGGATGCTGAGGGCAGGGAGAAGGGAAAGAAGAGGTCTGGATGAAGCACAAAGCGCAGACTTCCTTTTCTCATTACGGCAGGCTGGCTAGCTCAGACCAACCCTGATGCTGGAAACCATAAACCCTATAAGCACGTGTTTTTTAATCTTAAAATCATAAAAGAACTGATGAGGCAAGAGGAAGTGGCAGGCCAAAAAACCTAAGAGGGTCCTGTAGAGGTAAGCAAAGCAGAGAGCTTCCCTGGCCGCAGTGCATCCGACAAATCCTGAAGAAGTGCTGCTGGGTGCCAGCAGACTCTAACCTCTTGCGATTCGGAGGACAGAAGTTAAAACTTGGGGTCTGCCCTAGTGGCACCTGTAAAAGAGACACTCCAGAGGACTGTGGGGAGTTGTCTCGGCTCAGAGCAGGGCTGGGGGTGGAGGGAACTCATCCCTGAAAGACTGCAGCCCCAGGAAACCTCTGGAGTTCGATTACGGGGGTTCCAGGGTGGCTGGGACCCAAGCAACCTGGCAGAAGTGCACACAGATCCTTGCGGGAAGAAGGCTTCTTTATCCTAGACCTTTGGGAACCTCCCCCAAAGAATATCTCAACAGCGATCAGCAGCAGAGAAGCCACTTCAGGTCATTTATTCTCCAGCACATTCCTCTCGCAAACCTTTAGTAAATGCCCACGTGTTTCTGAAGGCCTTGGTTCAGACCCGTGAGAACACAGCACAGTAGTGTCACAGGAGGTGTCCCAGAGGGTGTGACTCTTGTGGACTCATCAGGCAAAAGAAAGGCCAGAAGATCGGGCAAGGGGCAGCCTTGGCAGAGGGAACTGCGCAAACCAAAGCAGGGAGGGATGAACACCACGCTGACAGGCTTGGAGCACTGAAGCTCAGCGTGGCTGGTATCGGACGCCAGGATGACTCAGCCAGAGCCACCTCGGGCTTGCGCATGAGCACTGGTACACGGGGCAGTTAGGCTTCCAGGAAAGCAGAGGAGGAGTAAGAGCCAGCAGGCCAAAGGGAACTTGCAAAGTTTGATCATTGCTGCTGGGCCTGTTTGGAGGACATCCTTTTATGTAGTATTTCCTAAGCTGTATTCTGTGAGATATTAATGGAGTGGTTCTCAACCCTAGCTGGACATCAGAACGCCCTGGGGAGCTTTTTAAAAAGAATCCCAATTGCTTTAAGTAAGAATCATCAACAGATGCCAAAACTAGTGGGTCTGATGTGAAACGGGATATGTACACAGTCTCCAAGTATCTCTCATAAGATACTGATTAATCACACAATGGAAAACAGCAATAACTTGACACAGGAGAAACCTGGAAGAGCCCACCTTAACCAGTGGGAGTCTTTTGGCCTTGTAATATGATGACGGAGGACGACATCACTTCCATGCTATTACTTCCAAAAGCGTAACACCTGAATCTAATCGTGAGGAAACATTAGACAAACCCAACTGAGGGCCATTCTACACTGGCCTGTAATCTTCAAAATGTCAAGGTCAGGAAAAGCAAAGACAGCCTGGGAACCGTTCAGATTGGAAGAGACCAGAGAGACATGAAAACTGAACACAGTGCTGATCTGCACTATAAAAATGTTCTGTTCTTTTGCTATAAAGGTCATCAGTGGACAGTGATGAGCTCTGAATAAGATGTGTAGATCAGTTAATAGTTTTATATCTGTAATTTCCTGATTTTGAGAAATGTACCGTGGTTGTTTAAGAATGTCCTAGTTTTTAGGAAATGCTGACTGATGTATTTAGAGGTCAAGAGGCATCATGCATCATGTCTGCAACATAAATGATTCAGAAAAAAAAAGATTGTAAATACATATATCTATAGAGTGGTAAAGCAAATGTGGTAAAAATACATTTCTGTAGGTCTGAAATTATGTAGAAAGTTAACACCAATGCATGAACTCCACCCCAGTTAAAGCAGAACCTCTGGGCGCAGCCGGACTTGAGAACCAGTGTGTAAATGTATTCCACTGTCAAGTAAGTTTGTGAAATACTGAGTTAAAGAAATTGCTGTTGCAGAACTTGGCAGAGCCTTCAATACTTTAATACTGCAGCACTTTAGTACTTCAGTACTTTAACACTTCAGTGCTTTAATTTGCATTGTGAATCTCTAAGGAGAGGAATGTAATACTCCGTTTCCTAAAGTTACTGAAGCGCCGCTGCAGAGATCTGAGGAAACAATGTTTTAAGATCATTTCCTATTTAAAGAGCAGTTTTCTGGAGCTGAAACTTCTCCATCTCGGAACCATAGAGGCTTCAGGTCAACCAGGATGACCACCCAGCGAAGCGTGGGTCCCTACCTTCTGGGAGGCAGCCTGCCAGCCCGTCAGCAACCCTCAGGGATGGTGCCATCCCAAGAGCCCCACTTCACCTGGGACAGCAGAGGAAACGCCTCTTGCTGGCTGGGCTTCCTTTGAAGGGTCCTCAGCCAAGAACCCTGAGCCTTAACCTCCCTCCCCCCACCAAACCCGGCCCCCCTCCCCAGCCATTCGTAAGCGGCTAAATGGTGTGGGCTCTTTAAAGTAATCCAATACTGCTGCATACCAATACACACTAATTATTTGATTGGGGTGAAAAATAATTCCTTGTGGGCCTTCTCTCCTGTGCCCTCACAGAGCCGCACCTGGAGAAGCGCCTTCTGAACCAATGTTAGGAAATATCTTGTTCCCACCCAGAATGGCTACCCGTCTCCACTGGAACACGGAAAGTGACATCTTTGATCTGTTTCCCTTTGACTCCTGCTGCTAAAAGAGATGATTGTTAAATGAAGACACAGGGGTTCCTTTCTGTTTTCTGCAAAAGCAGGAGGAGGAAAAGCAGCCAGGACTGGACAGAAGGAACAGCAAAGCATCACAGGCTTGGGCTCATGAAGCAGGCTCTGGGCGCCTCTTCATCTTCCCAAGAGGTTTAATGCAAATATTTAGAAGATGAGCTGATAGGTGCTGGAGCACCTGGGTCAGTGCCACAGGCACACACAGTACCATGTTTTCCCCACCCAGACGCGGAGCTCCCTGTGGGTGGGGGTGGCATCTTATCTGTCTCACCCACTCTCCTGTTCCCAGCGTGGTATCTGGAGGTGAGGACACCTTATTCATTGTTTAGTGAATGAACGTATGAAGGTCTGAGAGTCTGAAAAAGTGAAATGACAGCAGAACTGCAAGGGACCTGCACTTATGAAACAAGCTTTAAGTGTTAAACTCTGGTTAAGTCAATGCCAGAAAAGAGCTCACACCAGCTGGTTGCAGAAGCAGCTGCCTCACTCTGCCGGCAGTTAAGCTGGGAAGGGAAAGTCTGCCTTTTACTTTCAAATGAACGTTGAGTCACTCTGACTTATACAAGCCAAACTCCAGGCCCACTAATGGGAAAGGGCCCAACTATGGTTACCCGATGAATCTGCAAATCAGGGAGAAGATGGGGGTGGGGAAGGCTGGGCTGGAAAGCCAAGCAAGCAACACCTCCAACCAGAATTCGCCGTGTCCCCTCCCCGCCAGTCGGCCCCACCCTTTTGTTCTCTTCCCACCCTGGCAAAGGGAGCCCCATCAGACCCCTTTGTTCAAGCTAAAAACCTTGGAAATCTTCTCTCCCAACTCGTCCTCCAGTTTGATCTCAGAATCCACCCTTGTTTCTCTATCCCCACTGCCATTGTCTCAGCTCAACTCCGTCACTTATCTTTTGCCTGGTCTCCAAACTAGCCTTGAATCTCACCCAGTCTGCTCTCTGTGCGGCAGGCAGGGGTTTCTCTCCTGCTCTTACATCGCCTTTGGCTCGCTATGGCCTCCAAGATAACGTCCAGGTATTGGAGGTCTTCCACATCCTGCCCTCCCCTCCCCCAGCCATGCAAGGACTAGTTCTCATTCCCCAAATGCGCTCCTCCATGGCCCTGGCACACTCTGTCCTCCGCTTGGGCTCTCTGACTTGTCTGCCTACCCATCCCCAGCTCAAGTTTCTCCTCCTCCCTGAGAGGGTCTCAGATCCCCAGGCACAGTGAACACCATCTCGGCTGGCCCACCAGCTACACTGTCCTGTAACTTTTTTAGGGTGTCTCTCCTTTCTGGACTGCTTGCTCTTGAAGGCAGGATCTCACTATCCTTGTGTCTCTCTATGGAGACTGCCCAACACCAGGCATAACCATGGGTTATGGTCAAAAGAGTTTGAAAAACACTGGTATTAGGCACTTTATGTGCATTATCGCGTTTTACATTGACAATTCTACAGGTAGTTATTATCTCTATTTTAATGACGGAGCAACTGAGTCTCAGCTGAAATGACTGCCCAAGGTCAAGTGACTAGAAAAAGGCATCACTGGGATTTGATCCGCACCTTTCTGCCATCTATAAAACAGCAGGGCCAGGGAAGAAGCCAGAGTGGGCTCTAGGGAAAGTGGGCCCTAAAGGAGAAGCTGGGGAGTCAGAATCTGCTTATCTGTGGGAGGAGAGGCAGGCTGGGGCTCTGGTGCACAGGCTCCTACAGCCCAGCGCCTGGATGTGGAGGGGAGGCGATGGCGGGGCGGTGGGACGGCACTCACTTGCACTCAGCCTCTGCATCGGCCTTGGCGGTTGTATAGAGGCCACGCAGCTTTGTCCGGTAATAGGGAGAGACTGCGGAATACACAAAGGGAGAAAGATGCATGGGTGACGGGCAGCTGGCAGCAACGTGGCACTGCTTCCAGTCCGCCGGAATCAGACTCTGGGAGGCACCGAGGGGCCATGGGCTGAGGTATGAGCTTTACTGGCTCAGAAGTGCCCCCCGAGGCTGATACCTCCATGTTCACATTTTCATATGGTACAGATGCCATCACAACATCTAGGAGAGGACTCTCTAACCTCTGCCGGAGTGTGACCCACGCAAACAGAAAACAACTCTCCAAGCTCCTCAGAGTTGGAAAGCACCAGCCCGGGAGCCTGACCTCAGGGCATGTGCAGGGCATACGAGTAGGGAAGCTCTAGAAAATGCCGGCTAACTGGGGGGTCCTGCGCGCTGTAAGGGGGTTCCCGAGACGCAGCATCATTTCCTGACTTCCCAGTCCTCAGAGTTGGGGGATTTTAAGGTTCCTTAGTGGCTAGACAGTCTGTCATCTCTCTCCTGGGTCATCTTAGGTCACCCAGCCTAAGGGAAAACTGTCCCTCAGGGCCAGGGAGCAAGCAGTTCATTTTGGATTAGGCAGATACATGCAAAAGTCCCTTTCGAAAATGATGACCGCCACGTTCCCAGTCTCGGCCCACTCCTTTCTCTCCCGAGCGCAGCCACTCACTCTTGTTCTCTGTCTGCATCCGCTCGTGGGTCTTTTGGATGTTCACTAAGTTGTGTTCGCTCCTCGAACGCTCTTCCTGCAAGGACGAGGTCAACAGGACATGAGGGGAGGCCCTTTATCCTGCTGTGGCAACTACCCTGCAGCCCAGGCCAGAGGCCCCATAAATATGACCCTCATTTTGTAAATCCAACTTCCAAACCCGTAAGTTTAAAAGCATTTTCCCCCCTGACTAATGCAAAAGCAATACAAAAGGCATTAAAGTTAACTTACAAGTTATACATTTAATGACTCTCCTTTATCAAAAAGACAAACTAACCCACAGATTCAATGCAATCCCCATCAAAATTCCAGCTGCCTTCCCTGCAGAAACTGACAAGCTGATCCTCAAGTTCATATGGAAATTCAAGTGACCCAGAATAGTCAAAACAATCTTACAAACAAACAAACAAACAAGAAAGGAGGAGTCACGTTTCCCAATTTCAAAATCTCCTACGAAGCTGCAGTAGTCAAATGGTGTGATGCTGCCATATAGGTCAATGGAACAGAACCGAAGTCTAGAAATTAACACGTGTATCTATGATCAGTTCATCTGGGGAAGCGGGGTAGGTAAGGATGCTGATACAATCCTTCCCCGCATCAGTGGTCCTGGGACCAGGGCTGCAAATGAAGATGCCGGAAGCAGGGATGATTCCTAAGGAAGAAGCTGTAACTATACCTTTTAACCTTTATGTCAGAATTTCTAAGTGCCTGAGCGGGTAGGTACTTTCACCCCATCTGGCAAAATGGAGTTAACAGTGAACGCAGCTATAATGCCTAGTGGTGAAAACAGCCTACTAGTTCCGTACCTAAGTAACCCTACCTTACATGAATGGGAATGCACGGGGGCCGGGGTGGGGATAGGGGAAGAGTCGGAGGAAGGTGGGTCACTTGCTAGACTAGTGTGTTGTTGCTGGCAATCGGGACCAGCACGGTGGCCGAGCCTAACGTCCTTCAGAGTAGAAAAATCCGGGTAAAAATCAATGACAAATGCAGAGAAGGAGAAAGAGTAGCTGAGGGTAAAAGAATGAATAAATGGGTTATGCAATGATGGAAATTCAGTATTACATTAATACCTGCGAGAGGCTCAGAGCAAGAGAATAACATTGACTCTTAACTCAGTCATACCAGATGCCCTGAAGGTGACGCCGTGTGTCTGCCAAGACCACCTCCGCTTTTAGACCCCAACAAAGTCAAATGGAAGCCTGAAAACCCTCTGAGAGACATTTTGGTTATATAATATGATGATAAACTAGACAAACTGTTGATGACTGACTGGAGTTCTAGTAATGTGCCAGTATCTTTTTCTTCTTTATCTTCAAAATTTTATTACTAAACTATTTTTAGAGCAGTTTTAGGTTTACAGAAAAATCACGCAGGTGGAAGACAGAGTTCCCATACACCTGCTTTCCCCTGCACAGGCTCACCTATTATTAACATCTTGCATTAGTGTGGAACATTTGTTACAATTACTGAACCAATATCGATAATGATTATTAACTAAAGTCCATAGATTACATTAAGATTCACTTTTTGTGTTTTACATTCTATGGGTTTTGACAAATGCAAAATGTAACGTACCCACCATTTTGGTATCATACAGAATAGCTTCACCTCCCTTAAAAATCCCCTGTGCTCCCCCATTCATCCCTCCCTCCCTCTAAGCCCTGCACAATCACTGACCTTTTTATTCTCTCTATAGATTTGCCTTTTCCATATTGTCATATAGCTGGAATCATACAGTATAGAAAACCTTTCAGACTGGGTTTTCACTTAGCAATATGTGTGCCAGAATCTTCTGACTGATTTTTCAGGTCACATTCCACCACAAAGGATACCATTTGGAAAGGAATCTCTGGAAACTGCTCCCACTGGGTCGTATGGCGGCTCCCAGCAGACTGATCATCGTGTCACTACAAGCCTGGATGACGGGATGCTTAGAAAGGTCCCTGGCTGTAATGGACACGACATGCCACAGCATGCTTGCACAAATACACAGCACCCTTGTCTTTGTGAATGCAAAGCAAGTAAAAACAATAGGGAAAAAGTGGGTTTCTGACAGGATTAGAGCAGTAGGCACGTGGTGGGTCCAAATTCCCCTGGGGAACAGCCCCATCCCCTGCTCCCCTAGAGGAGGAAGGTTTTGAGAGGCCTAAGAGGCCATATGATATACTTAGGCTAAATTACATCTAGGTGCGACTACCACTCATCTAACCCTAGTATGGGGCACCCAACATTTTTGGGTACAAAATATGTATCCTAACTGCAGTACCCAGGCCATTAGTACACAATGGCAACAAAATGCATGGTGGAGTAAGCAACATTGGCCCATAGACAGAAAAAGGCTTTAGGGGACATAGGTACTGTTGTGTTCATTGTGGGGCAAGCTGAACTCATTTTCAATGAGAAGCAGCAATCAGAGGGAAAAGACCGTTGATTAGAATAAACAAACAGAAGTGAGTTCTCTCGTAGGAGGAAGGCAAGGGATGGGAGTCAGTCTGGAAAGATGATGAGGCTTTAGTGAAGTGGTTCAGGCCAACCCAACAGGTAATGTGGATAGTTCTAGGACCCACCTGTTGCTGGGAAAGGGCTTGCACCTTGACCCACCAGGGTTTCTTGACTATTTTAAAATGGATAATACTTTAATAAGTAGCCATGAGCAGTGGCCCTCCATCCTAGCTGCTGAGCCCCAAGGGGCACACGTATGGGAATTTTGTGGACCTCTAAACCTATGGAAGCCCTCAAGGGGCATGTGCAATTTACATCAATGCACCATGACTACCCTTGACCCAAGAATAGATCAAAATAAGACATATCCTGAAGTCCAGTTAGCAGAGGTAGGGCTTGTACTCTGAATACCACCTGTGTCCTCCCCATAGGAGGGAGGTGGACTCTGCTATACAACAGAATGCAATGGAAACCAGTCTCAATACGAGCCTGAGCTGAGACAGAGTGACTGGCTTTATCTCCAGCTGACTTCGAACCCAGAAATAACTGAATCATGGCCAACTGTAATAGAGCCTGTCCGTAATAAAATCTGGTAAATGGGCAGGGCCAATTCTGCTGCAAAGGCCTAACAAATAGCTCTGTAATTCTTATTGATTTGTTCCATAATGAAACTGAATTTTACCATGACCATACTTCAATATGGTGTAACACACTGGCACTGTTGGTAAGATTCAACTACCTTATGTAAGTCAGTCATAGGATAATACTGATATTGATGACCAAATGTATTGGGAGATTGAGTCAAAGTCTTCTGAGAATGTAATGCTGATGGAAAATGACTGACCTGAGGAAGAACTGGATTTAACTCACCATCAGCTAATTTCTATGCTAAACAGTTTCACACAAATTTATCATAAGGTACAGATGGCGGTAGATGAAGGAGGAAAACAGGTAATCAAATTAGTACAAAAATATGAAAGTGTATGTAATGACTCTATAGGACAGATTAGTTGTTTCTTTAAGTCTATCCCTACCCTATAAGGATTCCTGCCAATGTTAGGCATATTTATCCTGATACTATTGCTGTATCTGTTATATAAATGCTATACTAGAGGTAAATGCTCAAATGACTGTTTTGCTGTAACAGAGCCTAGGCCAAGGGCCAGGGGGGTGGCAGGTGCAGTTAAAGATCAATTCAGCAGGCCGGGGTGTTCAAACACTACACATTCCAAAAAAGGGCTGGCCCTTGACCAGCTCTTAGTAGATAACCTCTAAACACGCTTGGAATATCTTGCCTGATAAGAGTGTCTCTGTTTACCTGAGGTGGAGGCAGAAGGAGAATGACTGCTATTGGGTACAGGGCATTTTTGTCAGGTGATGAAAATGTTCTGAAATTGATCATGGTGATGGTTGCACAACTCTGAATATTGATTCAAAGTGGACTGTACACCTTAAATGGGTGAATTGTATGGTATGTGAATTATACCTCTCAATATAGCTGTTACTAAACAAAACGAATCATGAAATCCTGCACATGACAGAAAATCCAACAGGAATGGAAGTCATACCCTACATTCTCCTTCTCCTCCCACCTTCATTACATCACCGTGGCTCCTGCATGTCCAGTCTCTTTGAACACAACCACCCCCGCCCCCCCCACAGCTCAGTATCACAGCCCGCGTTCCCCTCTAGGAGTGGAGGGCTGTGGATTTTTACCTGGGTTTGCTTGATCAGCTGATGGAGCTCTGTGAGCAGTTCTGCAATGCGGGAATCAGCAGACACGAGGGCCATGGTGTGGTATACGGGGGCGCCTGGGGTGGAGGGGGAGCAGAAGAGCGCCTTGTTAGTGGCTGTTGTGGGTTAAACCATTCTCCTGAAAGATATGCTGAAGTTCTAACCTCCGGTACCTCTTACTTGGAAACAGGGTCTTTGCAGATGTAATTAAGATATATGTTAAGATGAAGTCACCCTGGAGTCGGGTGGGCCTTAATCCAACATGACTGGTGCCCTCATAAGAGAAGAAACAGAGACACACATACAGAGAATGCCAGGTGGAGAGACAGACACACACAGAGGGAAGACAGCCATGTGACAGACGCAGAGAGAGAGTGCAGTTATGCACCTGCAAGCCAAGGAATATCAGGGATCGCTGGCAACCACCAGAAGCTGGGAGAGAGGCACGGAACATACTCTCCTTCTGGGCACCCAAGAAGGAACCCACCCTTGATTCTGGAACAAATACAACCCCTTGATTTTGGAATTCTAGCCTTCAGAACTGTGAGAATACATTTCTTTGAAGTCACCCAGTTTATAGTCGTTTGTCATGGCAGCCCTAGGAAACTGATACAGCGGCAAGTTGTCTTGGATTCCCTCCCTAATCCAATGATGCTCCTATTTGATATGTTCAACCAAGTCAGGAGTACTTGTTAAGTATCTTCGAAGGCAGTATGTCCTAGCCCCAGCTCTGCTGCTACTATCCCGACAAATGATTCAAGCATTCCGGTTTCCCCTTTTTTTTTAATGTGTAAAATGAGGATTCAAATAAGATTTTATATGAAGACACTTTCTAAGATATAAAGCATTGTTACTTTTTTTTACTGTAGAGGGAAGAGAAATTAACTACTAAAAATATCTGACTTAAGGTAAGATGAATGTATTGTGATGAAAATAAAATGCAACAGTAGGTAATTAGAAAAAGAATAAGAGACAATAAAAGGTAATTTTAAAAGTAAGCTATTGTATAGCCAACACATGGAAACAACCTAAATGTCCACTGACAGATGAATGGATAAACAAGATGTGGTACATACACACAATGGAATACCACTCGGCCATAAAAAAGAACGAAATAATACCATTTGCAGCAACATGAATGCAACTGGAGATTATCCTACTAAGTGAAGTAAGTCAGAAAGAGAAAGACAAATATATGATATCACTTATATGTGGAATTTAAAATATGACACAAATGAACCTATCTATGAAACAGAAACAGACTCATGGACCTAGAGAACAGACTGGTGGTTGCCAAGGGAACCTATTTATGAAACAGAAACAGACTCATGGACATAGAGAACAGACTGGTGGTTGCCAAGGGAACCTATCTATGAAACAGAAACAGACTCATGGACATAGAGGGTGGTTGCCAAGGGGGAGGGAGTTGGGGGAGGGATGGAGTGGGAGGTTGGTGTTAGCAGATGTAAGCTTTTATATACAGGATGGATAAACAACAAGGTCTTGCTGTATAGCACAGGGAACTATATTCAATATCCTATGATAAACCATAATGGAAAAGAATATTTAAAAAAAGAATGTATATATATGTGTAACCAAATCACTTTGCTGTACAGCAGTAATTAACACAACATTGTAAATCAACTATACTTCAATAAAAATTTTTTTAAAAAAAGTAAGCTACTGTAACTAGGTAAAACTGGACATATGCCTAAAGATACAAGTAGACTGATAAAAAAGAACTTTTTTTTAGGATGCTGAAATTTTTACTTTATACCCTACCTTCTTATAAAGGTCATTCAATTAGTACATCTCCATATCCACAAAGATCAGATTCACACTGCATGTCCCCCACCCCCCGGTAATGAACTGTGAACTCTATGTATTTAAATATGCACATCTTCTTAAAAATCTCTGCTTTTGTTTATTAAAAGAGTAATATACAAACCAGGAATAGAGGGGAGTTTCCTCAACCTGATCAAGGGCATCTATGAAAACCCACAGATAACATCATACTTATTGGTGAAAGACTGAAAGCTTTCCCCCCTAAGATCAGCAACAAGTCAACATTGCTCTAGAGGTTCAAACTAAGGCAATAAAATGAAATAAAAGAATCAAGATTGGAAAGAAAGAAGCAAAACTATCTTCATCTGCAGATGACATGACCTTGTATATACAAAATCCTGAGAAACCCACTAAATAATGATTAGAACTAATAAAGAAGGTTAAGGGACAGAAGATCAACAGGCAAAAATCAACTGCATTTCTATACAGTTGCAATGAACAGCCCAAAAATGAAACTAAGAAAACAATTCAATTTACAATAGCATCCAAAAGAATAAAATACTTAGGAATAAGTTTAATAAGAGAAGTATACAATTCTTAAACTGAAAACTACAAAACATTGTTTAAAAAAATTAAGAAGATCTACATAAATAGACATCCCATGTTCATGGATCAGCAGACTTAACATTGTTAAAATAGCACTACTCCCCAAATTGATCTACAGTTTCAACGAAAGCCCTATCAAAGTCCCAGGTGGCTTCTTTGCAGAAATTAACAAGCTCATCCTAAAATTAATATGAAAATTCAAGGGATCCAGAATAGCCAAAATAATCTTGAAAAAGTTTTGCCAATTACAAAACGTACTATAAAGCTACAGTAATCAAGATGGTGTGGTACTGGCATAAGGGTAGACATAAAGATGAATGGAACAGAATCAAGAGACCATAAATAAACCCTTATATCCATGGTCAACTGATTTTCCACAAGGTTGCCAAGACAACTTAATGGGGAAAGAATAGTCTTTATTGATAAATGGTGCAAGGACAACTGGATGTCCACATGTAAAAGAGTGAATTTGGGGCCCTACCTCAGACCATATATAAAAATGATCTGAACAGACAGTTCTCCAAAGAAGATATACAAATGGCCAACAAGCACATGAAAAGATGCTTGATATCATTAGCCATCAAGGAAACGCAAATCAAAACCACAGGAGATACCATTTCACACTCACTAGGATGGCTATAATAAGAATGAGACATAATAACAAGTGTTGGTGAGGATGTGGAGAAACTATATGAATGGGTAAAGTGTGGTATTATCCTTACAATAGACTATATTATTACACTAAAAAGGAATGAAGTACTGACACATGCTACACATGGATGAACCTTGAAAACATTATGCTAAGTGAAAGAAGCCAGACAAAATAAACCTCATATTGTATGATTCCGTTTATATGAAGTATCCAGGATAGGCAAGTCCATAGAAAGCTGTTGTGGGGGGTGGTTGAGGGAGGAAGGGGAGTGACTGTTAATGAGAATCGGGCTTTTTGGCCAGGCAGTGAAAATGTTCTAAAATTGACTGTGGTGATGTCTGTGTAACTCTGAATACACTAAAAACCACTGCATTGTATGCTTTAAATACGTGTACATCTCCATCCCTTCCAGCCCCAGGCAAACACTAATCTACTTTCTGTCTCTATAGATTTGCCTGTTCTGCACTTCATTTCTTTTTATTGTTGAATAATATTTCATGTTTGCATATACCACATTTTGTATATCCATTCATCAACTGATAGACATCTGGGTTGTGTTCACTTTTTGGCTGTTATGAACATCGCTGCTATGAATACCTGTGGACATGTTTTCATTTCCTGGGTATACACCTAGGAGTGCAAATGTTGGATCATATGGTAACTCTATGTTTAACCTTTTGAGAACAGCTAGACTGTTTCCAAAGTGGGTGCACCATTTTATATTCCCATGAGCAACGTATGAGGGTTCCGATATCTCTGCATGTGCACCAACATGTGATATTGTCAGTCTTTTTGATTATAGCCATCCTACTGGGTGTGAAATGGTAACCAGTGGTTTTGATTTGCATTTCCCTGATGGCTAATGATGTTGAACATCTCTTCATGTGTTTACTGGCCTTTGTGTATCTTCTCTGGAGAACTGCCCTTTGCCATTTTTAATTGGTTTTTTAAAAAAATGATTACTGAATTGTGTCCTTTGAAGCACATGTTTTTAATTTTCATGAAGTCCAACTTATTTTCATTTGACTGCTTGTGACATATCTTTTTTTCCTCACACGTGCAACACTATTTTTACCACCACAAGCTTTATATAATGCATTCTAACATAGAGAAGAACATGTCTCTTAAGAAAAAAAAGTCTGGCTGCATTAATTAGAACCACACAAAATCAGGGATCTAGAGTTTAAGAGATTCAAAGTGGATAAATTTGAGAATGATCAGCATAGAGGTCGTTGCTAAAGTCTTGGGAATTGATGACGCTAGGGATGATCTGCTGAGTGAGCAAAGAGGAAGGGGGAAAGAGCCCCACTGAACCACAACCAAGGTGAAGGTGTGGACCAAAGAAGAGTCCAGTGGGAAGATCCCCAGAAGGAACGGATCAGCATGGTAAAGGGTTGTTCTCTCCTGCCACATAAAGCAGAATCCTGGTCAGAACCATGCCTTTTACATGCCTACACATGTGCATATTAAAACTGGGGGAATGGGGCTTCCGTGGTGGCGCCAATGGTTAAGTGGTTAAGAATCCGCCTGCCAATGCAGGGGACACGGGTTTGAGCCCTGGTCCGGGAAGACCCCACATTGCCACAGAGCAACTAAGCCCGTGCACCACAACTACTGAGCCCGTGCTCTAGAGTCCGTGAGCCACAACTACTGAGCCCACGTGCCGCAACTACTAAAGCCCACGCGCCTAGAATCTGTGCTCCACAACAAGAGAAGGCACAGCAATGAGCCGGCGCACCACAATGAAGAGTAGCCCCCACTCGCCGCAACTAGAGAAAAAGCCCGCGTGCATCAACGAAGACCCAATGCAGCCAAAAATAAATAAAAGTAAGGTAAACTAAAAATAGAACTGGGGGAAGCCCCCCCAGCCGGACAGTGGGTTTTACTTTATACAAGCATTGATAGCAAGCACTCCCACTCTGCTGCCAGGTAAATCAGTTACCTTCCCTGAGAATTCTGACACTTCAAACCTTCTCCCTCCTCAATACCTTTGCTCCTGCCCTCAGACCCACCACCATGCAGGAGGGGTGTGGT